TCAAGGTTAAATTTTTGACCAGACAATTCCAATACATCCCAAAGCTGGCTATTCAACCCAATGCTGACATATTGACCCAAAGCCACCCAAACCTTGACAAAGTCCACGGTAAAACCAGGCTTCCTATTTCAAACCAGCCTAAAAGCTCAGTCATCACAAATCCAGATAAATTATTAACAATCTAACAATTTATTTCTGCTTAAATTCAAATAACTTTCTTAACCATTTTCATGTTAATTACATACATTTTTAAGTATAAAACACAAAATTCAAATTATAAAGTAGCCAAATTTATACCAAGTTCAAAGAATCCCTGGAGCCTGAAATCTACCCACCTGCAGCTCATACAAATGCTTCCTTCAAAGACCGACATAAAAAATATGCACCGGTTACAAGGTACATTAAATGTTTCTTATTAAAGTGGATAATTCGCCCATGTCTTCCTGCATATGCGTGCACAAGTGCATTGTACGAACTTTGATAGACTGAACGCTACACTTAATTTAATACCAACAAAAAGCATGTAATCAAGTTTGCAATGCCTCCAGTACAAAGCTTTTGTGCTGCACTCTTAAAATTTTGCCAAAATGTCTCGATTCAAGATGTGAGGACACAGGCCTTGATGTTGCAACATAAGTGGGGTCTGCTTAGATAAAAAACAAAACAAACAAAAAATAACAAGTATTTTTTGCCAATTTTAACGAGCTTTGAAATTTTCTCTGAAACAATATCTTGTATCAAGTATAGGTTTAAAGTTGGCCTCACATGAATAAAAGCATCGCCTAAGTGGTAGAAAACCTTGAAGCGAAATGAATCACTTTTGAAAAAACCTTGTTTTTCCAGCTCCGAGCATTAAATTTTTGTTTAAAATGGGTATAGTATTGCTTCTATTTTGAACACTATTTTGTACAGCTAAGCAATAAATTTACCAAATATACCATTATAGTCACTAATCTAGTCTCTAAAAGAGACAGGTCTCAGTAGTTAAGGTGTCTACCTCAACCCTGGGATTGTAGGTTCAAGCTTTACTGGTGTCTTGACCATGATCCTCATATTACTGGTTTAGTTCTAATAAGTGGACTTGAAATTAATGGCTCAAATAAGTTTCAAGCTTTCATCGCAATTGATTTAAATAAACATGTTTTTTAAAAAAAAACATGAAGTACAAAGAACATGATTATGCTGTAACCCAAACAGAAAAATAATTTCTTTTCACATTTTGTCTTTTAAGCTTATGATAAATGACAAAAAGAAAAATTGTACAGAAATCAACATGATCATTACTGTAATATCAATATATCATTATGTAATCTTGTAAAATTAAGTATTTCCCCTCACAATTTTATGAGACATTTTGTCTTTAATAACTAACACCTGTTGGGCTGTCTTAGTGCATGTTTATATCTAATTTTTTGCACTTGTCACAAAATAATCCTCTACTTCTAGTGTATAATATTTTTTATAAATTTGTTTAAACTTCAGGGCAGGGGTAATCAAATGTTATGTAAATTTTTCTCTTATATAATTATATAACTAAAATAAGTTCATTTATAAAGGCAACAATAAAAAATATTAATAAGCTCAGAAAACGCATAAAAAAATTTCAAAAGTCCTCCACGTACAACGGATAAAAAAATTATAAACCCTAGCACACAATCAAGATAACTTTCATCTGTTCCCAACTTACTATTAAACATCAATAATTCTTTATTACCCTTAAGCCTATACGAGGACGTAAATTGTGATTATATTTACGAAACTTGTCAAAAGGCTGACTAATACATAATGAATTCGCACAATAACCAGTATAAGAGTTTCGATTGGATAATGCCGACATGCTCTGATCTTGGGTGCATTTTTCATTCAGTCTGATCCGATCATTGCAAACTTTGCGTACAAAAACCTATAATCCAGTTGATTAATGAACGACATGCTCTGCGAGCATAAGGGTTACATTGATCACATTATAATATAACCTGGAGACAAAAAAAACTCGATGGTATGTTTTCCTGCACAATTACGTTCAGGTACGCTGCTGTAAATTTCACAGGAGGAGGTATCGGGGAGCAATCGTCAAAAAGTAATACAGTGCTGCGTGTGGTACATGATATAAAGTGCATATTTATACAAAATCAAGTGCCATGCATTCAAAACATATTTATTTTTTCGAAAGCGCACTCCAATAAGCTTTTTCGTAATTGATTACAGGACAACAAATCGGATCAAAATGGCTTTCAAATGAAACAATCTCTTGCTATGTCATATCTAGTGTAAGTACATCCTTTTTGAAAATCAAACCTACATTTTATATTGTCTTATCATCTTCGGTAAAATATTTTCAATCTAAATTTTAACGTACTGTGATACAAATTTTACTGTTTTCACTTTTGAACTTACTTTGACTATTATCCTTGTAGAGTGATATTTAACTTAAAACATAAATTAATTTAGAAAAAGTGCATTTTTCATGTAATATGTTTGTAAATAAATCTAAATTAAAATAATAATTAATCAAAACCTAATTTAAAACCTTTCCACACTAAATATCTTAAATGGACTTTCCATCTTGAAAAGATCATTCATTTTATACAGGGCAAATTGCGAAATAAATATACGCAGTGAATAGCAAACAGTGCAGACCTTCATCAGACTGCACAAATGTGGAGGCTGATCTAAGGTTTGCACTGGTTGCGTTGGTAGAACCAGTTTACCAGCAGGCTATGGGTTAAGAGAAAAAGTTCATTACATGTAAATGTGTGCATTAAATTTAAAATGTTAAACCTTGTAAAAATAATCACTTCCGAAATTCTTGTATTTATGAAGTGCCATATGCAGACATGTTACTGTCTTCCCTTTAACAAATGAAGCAGAAGGGTTTTCTTACAGACCTTAAACCTGCAACATATTGACTTTGTTGGGTTTTTTTCCAACAAATATAATCAGGTACAAAATTGAAAGTTTAAAATTTCAGTTAATCACTCCTATCTTTCAATATATCCAGCATGTGTAAATTTTGCAATGGCCCAAACGGGCATCAATTTGGTAAATAGCTAAAATTTTGTGTTAAACCCTCGAACCCAATTTCAATAAATAGCTTAACCATTTTGCTACCCATTGATTTTTATGCCTTAAATGAGCACCTTTTAAATTTTAGGATAATTTTCATTTCAAAGGAAATTATTGTAATTCACTTTAAAATGAGTGACATTTAATACATACTTCAAACTCGACGTGATAATTTGCATTAAAATCTCCCCTGTACTACAGTCAGATTTTTTCCCCGTACATTAAAAGAAAACTGTCAGATGTTCAGACCTCAGACATGTTAAATTTTAAGGTTTAACTTTTCCCTGTGCTAAAATGTCTCGTTTGTAACAAATAGTATTTGTTGTACCATTATAATATAGTAAATACTGAGAAACTATAAAATTTTCTTAACAAATAATTCATGGACAAAGCATAGAAGTCATTCAGCAGAACATCAAGATCATGAACAAAGTTCTAAGTCGTTCTTTTTTTACAAATATAGATATATATATTTTTTTTTTTTGTTAAATATAGTAAATACTACGATACTATTAAATTTTCAACACAATGTTTAATCAGAGTCATGACCAAAGAATCAAAGTCATCCAACACAAACACATTTCAATGCCATTTTTTTAGGAATATTTTTTGTACCATTATATTAACTATTTTGAAACTACCATAAAAATAGCTGGTAGCAAACTTCAAAAATTCAATGTTTTTATTAACAAATACTATTTTTTGTACCCATTTCATTCACTATTGCCAAACTACCATAAGCATACTAGCTAACATTGCAAAGCAGAGAGCTTTAAGATTATGAACACAGCTTCAATGTTGTTTTACCAAATATTTTTTGCACCAATATTATTAATTTTTGTGAAATTATCATGAACATGACCGAAAAAAAAAAGAAAACAGCTTCAATGCCATTAACCTTGCGATTCACTCTTTTAGCTTCTTGTTAATGATCTCACAGTACTATGATAATAAAATTAATCATAGAAATTATCATTTTATTAACCATGAGCGAAAACAATACATTTTCAGTTTGGAAACCAAGTGTTTATTTTCTCTTCGGAATAATATTTACAATCGATGAAAGATTGGCTATTGACTTATAAAGTCGCAAACCAAAATTAGCACAATCTTTGTATTAATTAATAAGTCATGTAAGAATTCAGCATGAAAACATGTATCTTACATAAACATATTATGTAAACCTTCCAGCATTTAACCTCTGACTTGAAGAATTTCTTTTCATTTTATTGACTTCGAATAGTCTATTGTGAGGTATGAGGAATTTCAATACTAAAATGATAAAAAAAAATCAGCTCGGCAGCCACCAGTATCCAAACTGTGCTGACAAGTGAGTCTTTATTCTGGTGGCATAGACAAGTCAATATTACTGATAACACTGTTAGGGTAGGACTTTTTTTATTCATTCAACATTGAAAGTCTAGACTAGGTTGGTTTACACACTTACAAAAAATACAAAACATTTCAGCTTCAGTATTAACTAAAAAAAACCTATTTCAGGTACAGTCTGCAAACAACTATGGACAGTTTCAATATTTCCTGGTCTTCTCTTTAAAGCACTTCTTTTTCTTCTTGTTTTTTCATTTAAAAGCAATAAAATGTTTTTAAGCTCAAATATTGGTTTAAATGAAAGACTATAGAGCTGTTTATCTTGTTCATTAAATATAAGCAAGGGCTTGTTCATTCTTTTGGCATGAGGGGGATTTTTGTTGTTGAAACATTGCAAAACTCAACTGCCTGGCTGGATTCCTAACTAGCATAATTTGTGACTTACAAATGGGTTCAAATTTTACCATTTTAACAGCTTATTTTGATAAATTTATTTTTTCTGGGTTGTTTTTACACAGATTTCTGCTTTCAGAAAATCACAAACACACATACATACAGACAAACACAAAAAGAACATTAATACATGAATATCAAAGATAATTTACCTGGTAATTGATTTATTTGTGACTGAGCCTGTAAAATTTCATCAGCTATATTCTGTGCTGTGGGTAGGACATCTGTATGGTGTTCTGATATTAAATACTGAGCAAATTTTTGTAATTGTTCTCTATTCATCTGTAGTAATGTTTCTGCAAGAGAAAAATATGCAAAATAAAATATAAATGCCACTAACGCAATGCAGAATTAACCCTTGGCATGCCCAGGGCAATAGATGCTAAACCAGTGCCGACCGAGATCAGCGGGCACAAACCTGCAGCCTAATCATGGTCTGCACTGAACGCTTTTCAGTACAGTAAGTGTATATTTTGAAATTTTCTCTAAAATTGTTGAATGGTTTTGTCAAGATTGGAAGATAGACAAGTCCATTTAAGATATTTAATAAGGGTTTATAACAAATGACTTGCCTTACTTTACATACAGAATTATGAATAGAACAGTACAAATTCAAAATATAATAATCATAAAAGTCCGAATTATCTGCATTATTGAATCTTAGTGTCTCATCTTGTAAGGTGGCAGGCCAATGCTGGCCTTTCTCTTACCAACCTTGCTCTTTAAGCTATGACATAGGCAAGTTTTAACAATCTACATTTTAAGAACTTTCCATTATCAACTTTGGGGATATCAAAATGCAAATCTTAAGTTTAGCAGGCAATAGTATAAGGCCTGGTCAGATTGTTAAGTGACAGTAAGACAACATCAATTTCATGAAACGTGGCAGGTAAAAAAGAACAACATAACTTTGTACAGATTCATAAATGTGCGATGTGAAAATGATAAAAATTTAAAAGAAAAACAATTTATTCAACTTCAGAACAGGTAATTGTATCTATATCTCTTAAAACTTACAACTTAACTATCTGCGATTTTTAAACTTAGATTTCCTTTGATTAATGGAAAGAACTCAAACTCCTTTTGAATCATAGAAATAAAACCCTGAACAAAATTACTTCAAATTTGACAAATGATGTGGGGGAACATTATATCGGCACAAAGTGTGAAACCATTAGCTGCGTATTCATTATCATGCTTTCTGCCATACATCACAATTATGGACAATTAGATTGGCAATAGAATAAAGGCATAGTCAGTTACACCCTGGAAAACATTAAAATGGTGATGCTTTATTCAGCCATTCAAATACAGAATTGTTCTCTCCCTCTCAAATTCTTCCTTTCATTTTTATTTTTGCGAAGTAAGTGACAGTTTGGTATTACGTCTTGATTAGGATAGCATCTGCTTAAGTATTTTCCTTGTTTCTCAACTTTGTAACATAAGGAAACATATCATTGGCCAGCGATTCAGTTCAAATCTCAAACTTTTCATATATTTCAAACACCGGGCCAGTCATATCTATTTCACCGTTCACTTACACAGACTATTTTTCTCAAGCCAAATGTTAAGACTTGACACTATCACAATCTTTATCATTGGACAATTTTTTCGAGTATATTCTTTAAATGGACCAATCAGAATTCTTAACTCAAATATATTTCACATTTATCATTCAGTTTTTAAAAATGCAAATTCTTTCATTCCTTTTTTGAACATCTTACCTGATATAGGGACCCGTAATTGAACACTTTTTGCTTTCCTTATTCTATACAATGATAATGCTACAACGTGTTGGCACCAAAATATATCTTTATTTCCACAACCACACTTCACCGATGTTATCTTGCACCTGCAAATCAAACAAGAAAACAACCCAAAGTGAGACAATACCAAAAAAGATGTAAGAGGAAATTGCTATCTTCCTACTATTAACAACTAGTAAAAAGTGTCATTAATTAACCTTAGCATAAATTAAGATGAAGAAAAACAAAATAGTTGTCAATAATCATATCTTGTTTTCTGAACAATACTAAGCACCCTGTGTGAGAGCCGAGTGAGTCAAGAGGGAAAGTCAAGTGTAAATTGAGGAAAAGAAAAACATCAGGTAGCAAAATTTCGAAAACAATCTTATCAGTGCATCTGCAGGTGTGCTCCTCTTCCGTTATCAAATACAATTTACTAAAAAGCATTACTAATCAAACAAATTTGCAAGTACCCATCAAATTTCAATAAAAAATGAATAAATTGACACTTGATTACAACTATTCAATTATCAGTATCGATTGAGCCAATACTGTATTAAAAATAACCTCACTAATTTTCCATTCGAGCCCAGTGTTCATATTTGCCTAACAGGGAAATCGGACAAATTTTCAATACCTGGAAGTGTTTTGTATTTCTTAAATAAACCTGTTACTTAGTGTTAGAGAGTGCACAGTCTTAAGATCTTAATTAATGACAAAGGCTCAAGTCCCAGGCACAGTGTAATCTATGTTGTTGTTGTTGTTGTTATTGTTGTTGAGAAAATCAAAATTATTTTTTATAACAATTAAACAATATCAATTTTAGTGTAAAACTAATGGAAGTGCTACTGATAGTAATTTGTAAGCTCCACTAAAGGCAATTTGGAAGGTACACTGAAGGCAATTTGGAAGGTCCGCTTAGGGCAATTTGGAAGGTACACTGATGGCAATTTGGAAGCTCAACTGATGGCATTTTGGAAAACTTTTCCTTGAATAAATATACAAAAATGTATATGATAACTTTACCGTTTTTTATGTTTGACCCACATACCGCTCAATTTTAGTAACAGATTTGCCTAATTTTGACGATTCCACTCAAATTCTAAGATATTTCAATATGAAAACACGAAAATTGACCTGTTAACATTTCTAAGCTTGGTTATTTCAGGCTGGCCTGGTTGCATACAAAGGTTATTATCACATTTGGTTCCAGCAGATAAAGGACTATACCCTTTATTATAGCCAGTAATTCCTGTATTAAAATCTTGATGTATTCCAGTTCATTTACTGGTAAGCTTGAAGAATTCCACTTACCTATCAAAACTAATGGAAACTTGAAAGACACGTTCTGGTTGTGAGAATAATGGACTAGCAGGCTCTTTGACTGTACCACTCAAGTGGAAACCTGAAACAATACACAAAATACAATTTAAATTTAACAAGAACTGTCGGAGGACAGTAACGCTCGACTATTCGAAAATTTGTCACAAGGGTGTTTCATTGAGTATAATAATGCTTATCTATATGAAAACATAAAATTGTCCGAAAAGGTACAAACTCTTCAAGTTTCAATACATTCCCTTCAGTAGTTATGGAGAGACAAGCTTACATGCAAAAACTTTACCAAGAATTCATGAGTCGAAAAAGGGGCATAATTATGTTAAAAAGCAAATCAGAGTTATGGGACTTGTGCCAATCATCTTAGATAATCACAGAGAACAAGTGTGTGAAGTTTCAATCCATTCCCTTCAGTAGTTATGGAGATACCAGCTTACATGCAAAAACTTAACCAAGAATTTCTAAGTCGAAAAAGGGGCATAATTATGTAAAAAAGCAAATCAGAGTTATGGGACTTGTGGCAATTATCTTAGATAATCACAGAGAACAAGTGTGTGAAGTTTCAATCCATTCCTTCAGTAGTTATGGAGATACCAGCTTACACGCAAAAACTTAACCAAGAATTTCTAAGTCGAAAAAGGGGCATAATTATGTAAAAAAGCAAATCAGAGTTATGGGACTTGTGCCAATCATCTTAGATAATCACAGAGAACAAGTGTGTGAAGTTTCAATCCATTCCCTTCAGTAGTTATGGAGATAACAGCTTACATACAAAAACTTAACCAAGAATTTCTAAGTCGAAAAAAGGGGCATTATTATGAAAAAAAGCAAATCAGAGTTATGGGACTTGTGCCAATCATCTTAGATAATCACAGAGAACAAGTGTGTGAAGTTTCAATCCATTCCCTTCAGTAGTTATGGAGATACCAGCTTACATACAAAAACTTAACCAAGAATTTCTAAGTCGAAAAAGGGGCATAATTATGTTAAAAAGCAAATCAAAGTTATGGGACTTGTGCCAATCATCTTAGATAATCACAGAGAACAAGTGTGTGAAGTTTCAATCCATTCCCTTCAGTAGTTATGGAGATACCAGCTTACATACAAAAACTTAACCAAGAATTTCTAAGTCGAAAAAGGGGCATAATTATGAAAAAAAGCAAATCAGAGTTATGGGACTTGTGCCAATCATCTTAGATAATCACAGAGAACAAGTGTGTGAAGTTTCAATCCATTCCCTTCAGTAGTTATGGAGATACCAGCTTACATACAAAAACTTAACCACAGGGACGCCGACGCCGACAAATGGGTGACTGCATTAGCTCGATTATTCTGCGAATAGTCGAGCTAAAAACGAAAGCATTGAAATCAGCAATAATTAACATGTTTTATAATTAATGCATTTGAAAATTTGTTCATTACTTTTTGGAAATATCTAATATTCTATTCCAACAATAATGTTGTTTTATACAAACAAGCGTTTGTATCAATATGCTATTCACAAACACCCACTTGAATAGTACTCCCATGGTTATCCCATCCCCATGGGTATCACAGTAATATGATCATGTGCTATTTTACATGTGAAGCACAATCTATTAAAACATGAAAGATTGCCTTTGATCATTTACTTAACTTTGTGTACATGTGTTCTTTTAAGAAAACGTGCAGCCCTCACTGCAGTCAATATCATTAAAATAAGTCAATGCATTTATGTCCTTTTCATTCCAACGAGATTTTACGAAATTATGTATTAAGTACCATTGTACCACAGAGTACACCACTCTAACTCTTATGAACACACCAAGTTTGTAACACACACACACTAAGTTTGTAACACAAGAGATGAAAATGGTTCGGAGGCAATCACTACCATTGAATTACAACAAATAATGCAGCAGTCAACACCACTGAACCATGATTCTATTGCCACGGTAACCAAGGGAATGTATATTCTTAGGAAACATAAATACAAAATATAAACAATTTTAAATTCAAATATTCTTCGCAATTAAGATATAACTCAGCAATATATAAAAGTTCATGTTTTACTTATTATTCACAGATGTGCAAATTTCTCAATTCTCAATTTACGATCAGAGATTCTTTCATTCCACTAACCACAGATTTCAATGCACTAAGATGACGTTGCCAACCAGTGGCAACCATATTAATGTTCTATGTTTTTAACAACATTTTTGTGTCTTGTGGTTTTCCCCTAAACTCTTCTTACAACCACATTTAGACAGGTTCAATTTACTGCCATATTATCTATAAATATATATGTCTTCAAACATACTTTGCAAGCATAAATTACAACGTTTTCCAGTGCTAAACAATTAATAAGAATACAGTTACACATAATGAAGAGTTGTCTTTCCTTTTTGATTTTCACACTGTTGCGAGGGCACTGAACAACTGTCGTGCATAATCTGAAAACATTGAACTTAGATTCACAATTGCAACAATCATGTCAAGCCCAATGTCACCATCAGCACCGAGTATAAAATACCAGGTTATCATAAATGAGCCGCGTCACGACAAAACCAACAATGGGTTTGCGACCAGCATGGATCCAGACCAGCATGCGCATCCGCGCAGTCTGATCAGGATCCATGCTGTTCGCTATCAGTTTCTCTACTTGTAATAGGGTTGGTAAGCGAACAGCATGGATCCTGATCCATACAATATCTCCAAAATAACTTTCTTTTTTTTAAAATACATTAAACGCACTTGAGCATCTTCAGAAAATTGGACTTTAGAAACTGACCAATGAGAAAGCTGCAAATCACAGAACTGGTTCCTTACATTATTTCACATTCTGACACAGGGATAGGCTCAAGTAATAATATTATATTAAATATGTCAAATATTTAAATCTACTCTTAAATTCCTTCAAGCCCACATCAAATGACTTTTACTTTTATTAATATATATATTGTTATTTAAACCCTCGACAGGTAAGTTGGAATTCTAATGTTTGCAGCTTATTCCAAAACTCCTTTATTTATAAAAGATATCTTAAATCTGGTTTTACAAATAGAATAGATCGGCTTGACCCACTCAAAAAAATAGTTCCTTTCTATCGAAGCGTTTGTTCTATTGTGTGACTTGTATACACTGCATTTGATTTGATTAAACAGTAATTTATTAAACAATACAAAATGCCCTAAGTTCTCTTTTTCAGTAAAATGGCTTAAATTGTACACCTGGTATTTGAAGGGTGTATTATTCTGCTACATTGGACTGAGCCCTTTCAAAACAGAAAATGTTTAACAATGTTGCAATACAGGAAGAATAGAAAAGCCGAATGTGTCAAAAGCCGACAAGAGGAATAAAGTTTTTTTTTCTAAATTCGTAAGAAGATTAAATACGGGAGAGATTTAACAGTTTTATCATTGCTTTGGAACTTCAACAGGGTTTTCAAGGAATTTCAAAAAGACATTTGAAGTGTTTTTGCCTTATACAAAGACCTTGATAGCTTGCCCGAATCTTTCCTGTGTGTGTGTGTTTAAATAGTTTTTATGCCTTTTTTCCCTCCCAGCAATTTCAAATACTTCCAACTCCTACATAAATTTCGAGATTTTGTGATTTTTTCTCTACAAACATATGTTAACAATTACAAACGCTATGCAAGAAAATTAAGAGTGTTCTGGCATTGGACAAAAAGAAAAACCTGAATGAATTAAGAATATATTCTAAAATCTTTAAAAGTGGGGGTAAAAATACGAAAATGTTAAAATGAGGACATTGCTAACATTAATTAAATTCTCAACACCAAAAAATTTCAGCGTGTTAATCTAATTCAAGGGTCTCAATGAAAATCTAAATTTCGGAATTCTCATTCATAAAAATATATATATATTTTTCATCTAAAACTGTATGTAACCAAATTTCAAGAAATGACAGTTCTGACATTTTTAATGTCACAATTTGTGATAGGTATTTTAAAATCTAACAAAAACAAGATCCTACTCAAAAATTGAAGAAAAAAAATAATAAAAGCTGTTTAAACATCTAAAGAGTGACACTGCAAACAGACCAAAACTATATATGTCAAGGAAAGAGGGGAAAAAATGCTAAAATAACTGCTCCAATTATTCAAATTTTTTTCACTACAGGTATTCTTTACATTGTCAAAAGTAAAATATTAAAATGATTTTTTTTTCAAAAACTAAAGAATTAATTCATTTAATTTCTTTAAAAGACAAACTAACAAAGTTGTAGTTGTTAAATGATATTTTTTTTAACCTTCAACCTTTACCTGCTGAATTTCTGTAATAATTGGGACTTTTTCAGCTTACAGTTCATTATCAAATGTAGGTAACGAACATCAAGATGAAAGTTTCTATTTAAAGTTAGTCAGCCAAACTCATTCATTGTAATTAACTATATAGTTAAGCCCACCATCATTTAATACAAAGCTACTAGCTACAACTGTATATCAAAACTTCAGTATTCAAACTTTAAAAACTTTTTTAATTCTGACAAAACTTTAGTTTGATTAATAAATGAACAATCATGCTAGCTGCCACAGGCAAATAGTTTGATCATAATGGGTCTTTAAATAAAAACATAATGTTCTCAAAATGGTCAATTTTTTTTATGACTTATTGTTAAAAATTCGATGACACTTAAAAATAACATGTCCTTAAAGGCAACTAATGTCTAAAATAATCTCAAAGAAGGCTGGAAGGTATGATGTTAAAGTCACTTGCCTGTATACATAAACAGTTCAACACATGCCTTAAAGCTAAAACATAACTGACAAGTATTTTGTGGCATACATCTTTTTAATAAATCTCATAAATGTACAATATGTCATTTCATTTTTATGAGACTTCTTTTTTTTCTAACAATAATATATGTACTTTTTGCTATTAGCAATTCATCACATAATTATTACGACTTTATAACAATGATAACCAATTTCTTTGAGAAAAATCAAACCCTTGAGGCTTATAATACAATTTATAAAAAATTTAAATTTATACAAAAACGACCGACTACATAATAATCAATCATTTGTAACATTTTTATATCATGAACTGCATATTTTTGAAAGTT